AAATATAAAATTGTGTATATATAGAATATAAAATTGTGTATCAAAATAATGCCCTTCACTAGATTAAAAGTTTGGCAGATATTGGTAATAGTTTTTTTAGCTAAAGCAATGGAAGATGAGTGGACTGAGTTTCTATGTGATTGTCTGTCATCTATCTTATGTGAACTGTCAGTTGCTGAATCAATACTTCTGTTGTATGTCCAAAAGAAATTACAAATAAAATTTGTTTTCTACACTGAAAGCTACCTTAAGGAAATACTGCCATTTTCTCTTAGTAAATTTAGAAGATGTAGTGGTACAGATCAAAATCTTGTACAGTCTTGGCTATTTTGCAAGAGCCATTTGAGGTTATGATATTCAAGGTTTCTTCATGATTTCTTGCTGTATAACTCTGTGTTTGTGTTCTCATGGGGTTTAATGGAAAAATAATATAATGGTGAAATATAATTTTGTATATAATAGAAATAATACAGGGAGAAAATGTTCACTGACCATGAGGTCTAGTAAGAAACTTTAAGAACTATCTGGATTCCTTGTGGCATAAATTTTTTATCTGAAACAGGGAACCCATTTTGAGTGGTAGAACATGCTTTAGAATTTTTTTTTTTTTAATAATGATAGTGTATTTGCAAGTTGCATATTAATTATTTATAAGAACTCTGTAATAAAGCTAATAACCTAAAGAATATTAGGCTTTGGTCACCAAAGAGCACGAGATAACGGTGCTAGACAGCTATTTAATGGTACAATGGGGGCAGAGAAGAATGTTTTTGGCGCTTTTTTTGCTATGTGGTAGTAGTGGTAATGTGCTGTCGCCTATATGTGATTGTCTCCTTGATGAACTTTCTACAATTTTCACTTCAGTTATTTTCTGCTTCATTGTCTATAAAACTTCTGAAAAGTATTAGGCCTTCTGGGGTCTTCAGCAATTAAAAGGTTGCACAGGGGCAGTTATGTCAGTGGCCTATTTCATTTCACTGTTTCATAGTGAAGAGCTTCTCAACGAAATTTCTAGCTTTGTCATCTGGGAAATCCCTCAGAAAATTCAGGAAGTCGAGGGTAAGATGGATATCAGTCTAAAACTAACCTAGAAGTGGTTGAATCATGTTAATAGCATTATAACAACCTCCTCCACTTTTGTACAACTTGCTCTGCGCATTGGTGCAGAACCAAAAGTCGTTTGTAACCATAGGAGAAATGTTAGAATGCATGCGGTTACAATATGTTAAGATACTTATTTACATATCATGAGTGTTACAGAAAAAAGGTTTCTGTTTATTTTTAAAATAAGCTAGCCAAGCTGGCCTTATCACCTTTCAAATATTGTTTGAAATATATTAATCATACTTTCATATGTTGGAATTAATTTGAGATATAATTTGGAAATTGTTTACTGTTAATTTGCAATTGTAAGATTTCTGTTTGCCAGAAAAGACCTGTACCATGCATGCAAACTTATTTTTGTCTTATGAGACTGATGCCAAAAAGTATGTAAGGAAAGGATTAGCACAATTTTAGAAATTCACTGCATTAGCTGATATTTAATGTGAGGATGTACACTGAGGTTTTTTTGCAAGTGCTGAGGGAAGCAGAGAGAAAGAAAGAAAAAGCAGGTTAAAATGCTTTTCTTCGTTTCAGGGGGAATAGTTTTTTCCCTTTCTTCCCCTGGTGTGTTAAAGGGATAGATTTTTTCCCTTCCCTTCCCTTCCCTTCCCTTCCCTTCCCTTCCCTTCCCTTCCCTTCCCCCTTCAAGATTCCTAGCAGTGTACAAGGACAGAAAACATACAGTAAAAATTAAAACATTCATGGTAAACCCCAGAGCACCTCCCACAACAGTAGTATGCAAAGCAAATTAAATAATAAACCATAACTGTTAATTATGGTGTCAATAATTGCTCTCCAAAGGCCATCCGGAAAAGTTCAGTTTTCATGAATTTTATTCTCGGTACCAGTATGAAGACAAGGCAAAAAGGCAAGAAAAAACACTTCTTAGTGGAAAGCTATTAGTGTGAAGAACCTTTGTTTGGTTCTTGAGATGGCATCGGTTTCCTTCTCCTGTTAATCCTAGCCATTATGGCAGGTACTAACTGCTTATGAGTTTTACAGTTTAGCAATAACTGGACAGACTTGGGTTCCCCATACTTATTTTAAGAAACAGCTGACAAGATAATAGGTTAGGGTTAAAATCTAGATTGAAACATAGAAAGCGTAGTTCATTTTTTGTCTTCTCCCTCTTCATTTTGCTGACTTGAATCTACAGTAAATGCTCTTTTAGTGGGCCTGCAATTATCAACAGGACTTTTTCCATGGCTGCTTCCAGGAATTTGAATTTTATTTTGGCAGAATTTTGACATGTAAAGAAGTTATGGCTGAAGTTGGGGCACTATTTTAAGCTCTTTTAAATAATTGGGTTTTAATTATTACTATTTTTTCTGTTTAGTTGCCTTGAATGCTTTCCATGGTAGGGGGAGGAGTGAGGTATAAGTCCCATGCACAAATATAAATTATATTTCTGTTTTTCTAGTATTTCAAGAGGGATGTTGATTCAGGTACTCCTTAGTAAGTTGGTGAAAGGCAAAAAAATGCGTAAAACAGGCTGTTTTGGGGAACTTAGAAAAGGGCAGTAATAAAACTATAATACCACTTTCTGTAGAAAATTTATTTATTGCCACAGTCCATTTTTCAGGGGGACAGGCTACAGCCCATCAGTGTAGAGAAAAGCATAGATAACCTTGAAGAAGGTACGCAGAAACAGTTAAGCCAAAATAAGAGTCAACTCAGTCCAGGGAATGGAGAAAGCATGAGAAAGAAACTCAAACCCTGCCTTGATTCTGTCAGGATAGTTCATGTATTACTCATGTATAATAGTCATCTTCTAACTTCCACCTTTTTTATCAAGCCATTGATAAAATCTATCCCATATCAAATAATATTCTGTATCATCTTTATCTTTTATTTTTAAAGTCAATCTGTCCATCTCCGCACAGTCCAATATTTTCTGAGTAACACTTTCGTCTGTAGGGGTGTCTTCGTTTTTCCAATATTGCGCGAATACAATTCTTGCTGCTGTCAATATGTGCAGTATTAAATATACAGTTGCTTTGTCATAATTTTCCGGGATTACGCCCAGTAAAAATGTCTCTGGTTTTAAGTCTATATGTTGCTCTGTCATTTTTTCTAACCAAATCTGTATATGTGTCCAAAACTTTTTTGCTTTGGTACATGTCCACCACATATGATAATAAGTACCTGGTATTTGCTTACATTTGCAGCACTTGGCAGACATGTCCTTGAACATCTTTGCCAGTCTTGCTGGTGGCAAGTGCCATCTGTAAAACATTTTATATAGGTTCCCTTTATATGCCGTGGCCATCGTTAATTTATGGTTTCTCTCTCAAAGGTTTTGCCATTTATCTAAATCAATATTATAGCCAAACTTTTTAGCCCAGATAATCATTGTTTCTTCACTTGTTCATCTTCCATTTTAATGTTTAACAAATAGCCATATAGCTTCTTAATCATTTTTCCTTCTGTAGCCAATAAAGTTTGATCAAGTGATGTTAGCTCCTTATAGAAACCCCATTCCTTTGCATCTTTCACATATCTAGATTATTATTGTGGTTAAAAGATGGTAAACAATCTATATTGATAGATGAGCTGGTAGGATTATTAATTATAGAAGCATCACTAGACTATATTAATCTTATTATTATTGTTATGAATTGATCAATGATTTATACGAAGAACTACTTTGACACTTTAAAAATTGTAAGTAAAAGATGAACTGTTACGATGTGAGATAAATCAATGTTAGGAGCAATACATTATTATCGTTGTTGTTGTTGTTGTTGTTGTTGTTGTTGTTGTTGTTGTTGTTAAAACAGGGTGAATGATTTAT